ATGTTATAAAAACCGTCCAAATAAAAAGTAATATATAAGCATTCATTTTAAATAAAGATGAGCACATTATTTCATTTTTGAAATTAAGAACTTGAGCTTTAAAGCAAAAATAAATTATTTATTTTAATCATTTTCTACACTCATTTTGGATCAGATTGTGCAACCCTTACTTATGCTGAGTAGCGTAAGTCTGGTAGCTCACATGTGAGTAATCCTGTTTGGTCTCTTCTCCAGAATCTTACTCTTCTTCTGAGTTGCAGTTGTGTTGAATATTTGGGAAGTCCCTGGAGGGAATTTCCTTTCTCATTTAGTTTTTATGTTGTACACTTCACACCCGCTCTCTGCTCCCAACTCTGCCATCTGGCATACTTTCCTCCCCCCTCCACTCTGTTCAGCTTTGGCTTCTTCACACCCAACTCCCACGCCCCTTTCCATATCTTTTTGTTTGCCCTGCTCTCAAATCTCTTCAGTGTTTGGACATAGAACTAAACCCAGAAGAAAGGGCCATCACTTCAGGGAGTTTTTTCCAATTGTGCGTAGGCCTCCTTGAACCCAGCACATGTCCACTGGACAAGCGGAAGCCCACGCACAGAAATTATAGAAAGCGAAAAGAAGTGCATTCTCAGCTGAGTTTGAATGTCTGTTGAACAGCTTGCTGCGGCTCCACATTTTTGATGCACATGTTATGCATGCATATTAGCAAGTCATCTTTGTCTTGGGAGTAAAGATCTCTAACACTATTTGTGTAGTTACTTTACAGTAGGTGGAATGCATGTTTGAGTTCATGTACATGACATTGAGGAAGCCACTTGGCTTTTTCTGTATCATTGTAAATTATGTAGAATATAGTTTAAATGTAAATTACCCTGGTGGTGGTTGGAAAGATTACATAATGCTTTTTTATAACATGCCACTTTATGCCATTGATGTGGCAATGGAAGTTATTCTTACATCGAGAAAGTGCGAGAAGATCTTACAGAGACACCAGGGCATCAGTTTTGTAAGTGAAACTTAGAGGCTTCAAGAGTTACGGCTAAATAGATCTTCCATTTCCAGGGTTGTCAATTCAGCACTTAGTTCTAAGAGAACCAAGTTCATTTAAAAGTTCATTTAAAAGAAAATAAAGTCTGTGCTACCTGCTGATATCACCTGTGTAAAACAAAGATTGCTGTGTCACAGGATATTGAAGCTGTAGAAAAGAAACTGCAAGCAAGAGCACATCAACTTCCACATCCTGATATTGTTAAGTTAGAAGTAAGTCGTAAAACTCTACTCTTCAATTTGCTGTATATCAAGTCTTACTGTTTTCCCCCTGAAGCATGCTCTTAGTGAAAATAACTGATTTTAAAATCCAGTGACTGGTATAGCCACAGGTCTGTGTACTGTGCAGCAAGCTGAATCTAAATTCTTCAGCATGCTAGTGGAAATTTGGGTTCAGATACATAAAAACCTTCATTGAAAAAATAAAGGAATACGAAAGTAAATTCATCAGCAATCACAGGAGCTTTTATGGTGTTTTACATTATTCCAATTGGTTTATTTTATACTGTCTTCTCTAGACCATATATTATCATCTATAGGTTTGGGAGTCAAAATTCCCTTTAGTCATACTTCTTGGATCTGTTGTTTCAAGCTGTCTAGGAATTTTGGGTGATACCAGTTTTGGGTCACACTTGGATCATGTCTTTATGATGTTTCTATCCAAATACAATGACTAAAACAGCTTAAACTAGAGCACTAAATAAAGGTGATTGCTACCAGGTACTGTTCCCTACTCCCATGACTATTCTTGTGTGGTGTGTTGCTGTTGTGTGTATTTTAGGAGGGGTTTTTTTAATTATTATTATCCAGTTCATAGAATCATAGAAGTAGGGTTGGAAGGGACCTTGTAGATCTTCAAGTCTGACCCGCCCGCCTGGGCAGGAGAAAAACTGGGCTTAAATGAATCCAGCCAGGTAGGCATCAAGCCTCTTCTTAAAGACCCCCCAAGGTAGGAGCCAGCACCACTTCCCTTGGAAGTTGGTTCCAGATCCAGCCGCCCTAACTAGGAAGTAGTTCTTACGGATGTCTAATCTAAACCTCCTCTCCAACAACTTGTGGCCGTTATTCCTTGTTATGCCAGGGGGGCGCTCAGGGAAACAAGGTCTCTCCTAAACCCTTCTGGTCCCCCCTAGTGAGTTTATAGACGGTCACCAGGTCCCCCCTCAGCCTTCTCTTGTAAAGGCTGAACAAGTTCAGGTCCTGCAGTCTCTCACTGTAGGGTCTGCCCTGTTGTCCCCGGATCCTACGGGTGGCCTCCTCTGGACCCTGTCAATGTTGTCCACATCCCTCCTGAAGTGGGGTGCACAGAACTGAATACGGTACTCCAGCTGTGGCCTGACCAGTGTCACATAGAGGGGGAGGATCACCTCCTTGGGTCTACTTGAGATGCATCTGTGGATGCACAACAAGGTCTGGTTAGCCCTGCCAACCGTGACCTTGCATTGTCAGCCCATGTTCATCTTGGAGTCAATAATGACGCCAAGATCCCTTTTGGGTCAAATGTAAATACAGAAGAAGTCTAGAAACATGACTTCCATCCTTCCAAGTGAGGTCATAGCCACTTGACTTCCGAGTCATGCTCACAATCAGTTTTACAGTGACTCAGTTTCAGTGGGAAGAGTGGAGATTGCCGTCCCACATCATTTTCCCTCAAGCAGATTGGCCCATAGTCTGATGTCTTAGGGAACCCTCCTAGGAGGTGGGAGCTGTGAGTTTGGACCTCCTCCAACTGAGGAAGCTATTGAACACAGGTCTCTTAGTTTCTAAGCAAAAGCTCTAACTGCAAGGTTTCAGTTTATGTATGGATTTATTACCTGCAGCACTGAGCACAAATACTACTTTTATTTGGATAATTTCTGAACCCTCTAATGCTTTCTATTTATAGTATTAATCCCCAAATATATTTTTGCCTTGGATATAAAACATCACTAAATTAGGATTTTAATATTAATATTCAAAAGTAAGAAACTGTCAGCTTACTATTTATAAAAAATGTACTACAGTTACACAAAAAGAACCACTATGAAGAATTCCTATTCTACTTCATCGTCCACAAGAGGGCATATTCAGTCACTCCATAACTTACACTGGAAAGTGAAATCCTGCCAGCAACTATTGTATTGTGTAGTTGAGGGATCTGAAATTTAATATTCACGTGGTTTGGCCTTTTTCTTAATTGCTTCACACGTAAGACAACATTTACTAACACACTGCATGTGTATATTTTTTATGAGAAATTGGTTTAGATTAGATTCTGAATCAAAGTTTAAATTGCTTTTTGTTATATCTTTCCTAGACTGTCTATTGGGCATCAGTTGAAGAATCTCTTCCCAAGTGGGAGCAGTTTCTGTTAGGAAGAGCACAAACTCCTGTTGGTTTTAAGAAAATGAATCCTATAAAACAGAACATAAGTCACCCAAAGGGAGAAGCAGAAATGGAAAATAAAACAGATAGTCTCTTGGCTTAATCAGACAAAATAGTCTACTCAAGCAATGGAGTACTGGGTCATTAAATTGAAGTTTAAATTGTAGATGAAAGTGAATCACATCTGATAGTTTGTTTTCATTTGTGTGTCTATGTGGACTTGTTCAGCTAACCCTTAGTCTTTTAGCTGAAAAAGGTTATAATAATACTGCTTGTGGTGAGAGAAACAATACTACTTGAACATGTTGTTTGGCTCAGAAACTAGGGAAAATGGTGTATGAGAGCCCAGCAAGAACAATCACCTCTTCAAGATGGAAAGAATATAGGTTACTTGTAATCCTTCCTCATTACATTTTAAGTGACTTGTTTAAATTAATCTAGATTCATATCCCTTCTTGCCTCAGCTTCTGCCTCTGTGCCATGGAGGGATCTACCTCTAGGAAATGTAGGTAGTTTACAGCGGGCTGAGGGGATAGTTTAGTTAATGCCTCTGTAGAAACTCCAGTGATCGAGCTGCATAGAGCATACTGTACATTCCCAGACCATGCCAGAAGCACTAACTTCTTGGGGTCTTTGCTGATCCTCTATAAGTAACTGAAACGTCTGTCACTGCTCTGCCATACTCTCTTCTGCTAATTAATTTTCCATTTAGGGTCTGGGTCCTGGATTTATGACAATAGAAGCCAGTGTGAATCTGGTATGAATCCAACAATAAAGTTCACTTTGCAGCCTCTGAAGGAAAAAGCAAGAGTCAGTTATATTTAGTCCCTCTTAGTTTAAAGCCAACCGTTGTGCCGCTTTCATTCTTTTAATGGGTTAGGCCATGGGAGCCTGAGAGAACCAGGAAAAAAGCCATCTTCAAGTAAGCATCCCACTCCTGGAGTGCAGGAGGTGAGGAGCTTGCTTTCTGTCTTGGACGCAGGACAGCTCCTCAGCTCCCCACTGCACAGATAGAAAGCTGGTGGCTTTTTTACTTTGATGTAAGGCCAGCACTTTGGCTGCTGGGCCTGGGAGCCAGCATCTGTTGCTTTCTAGTGGTTACATGCTGTTGCACTTGAGTCAATAAGAAAAATAGCATTTCTGTTTCAATACAGGTGGCTAACACTCTCTTAGCATAAGAACAATTCATAAATGTGTGGATCAGGGATGTACAGTCCACTTCAGTTAGCCACAGCCTAACCAAATTAGTTGCCAAGTTGAGATTTAGGAGCAGTGAGTCTATCCCCTTCCTTAGTGGCAGGGGATGGAGCCTCCTGTTCAGGTGCGGGAGGTGGGACCTGCATCCCTGTATCTGAACCTTGTGTTAGGAGTGAATAGCATTATGTTCCCTGGCCAATGTTTCCATAAGCATCACAGTCTGATCACCTGAGATCACAGCCCCTTTACACTGCCCCATGAGGAAAGGGAGAGCTGGGTACCTAGAACATAATGTGCATTTAATTAATCAAACGAGATTTAATTATCCAGCACTGAGGCATGTTAGTGAGGAATGTGTGGCCCCTCAGAACAGGGATCAGCTTCTCAGCTGGAGACCACGGGAACGGTTTGTGAGGACCAGCATCTGCAGAGGCTCTTTTCTGTTAGAACAGTGCCTTATTTGCTGAATTAAAATTGCTGTCAGATTCACCAACAAAAATTCCCCTCAGCTGTATGAAAATTGTTTTACATTTTTCAAGGGAATGTTAAAAGTTCATTTTAAACTTTTTCTATTGAAGTGTCCATTAAACTGATAAGTTTTTACAGAAACTGCCATCTTAGAAATATCCTGTTGAGTGGGTGTTGGTGTTTGTAACAATAACGTTGTTTTCATAATATGTGATGGCAGATTAGCACGCTTCTCTGCAGTGTTGTTAACAGTTGTAATTAAGGAATAAACAGTAAAGGGTGTCAGTCCGATGACAATTTCATCTATAGTGTCACAATACAAAATGTCACAAAATATTAGAACTGTTATATAACTACAAAAATATCAAATTAGGCTTTCATCTTAGAAGCAGGGAGTTTAAAAAAAACCTGGCATAGAGACTGTCGCAATTTTATACCTACTCAGTGTTTTGTCACAAAGACAAGTTGGTAATATTTTCTTCTGTAAGATTACAAGCATAGTTCTCAGTCATACATTTGATTTAACAGGCGTGCATGTGGATCTTTAGAAATCTGGGGCTCTGGATTTTTAAACTCAGCTGCATTTAACAGAGTGGAGGAGAAGGATCTGTTTTTATGAATCCAGAGGATGCTTTTCAAGGGAAGTTGAGTGCCCAAAAGAAGGACAAGATCTCCACCTGGAGATGTGGATTTGGTTCCTTCCTCTGCCACAGACTTTTTGTGTCACCATGGCCAAGTCACATAGAGCCAGATCTTCAAAAGTGCCTATATCAATTTGATCTCAGCCAGAGGTGGGCTCCTTTTGAGGATCTGAGCTTTTGTTTCTCCATGCCTGAGTTCACCATCTGTAATATGGGGATATGGAATTTTCCTAACTCGGGGGAGTTGCGAGTGTACCGTAAAAAATTTGAGGTGCTTGGATACTATGCTAATGGAGGCCACATAAATACTTTGGAGTGGTAGAAGCTCCTTGAGAGGTGAATGGAGATTGGAAAGCCTAACTCTCATTTGTGCCTTTGAAAATGTCTAGGACATCAAATAATAACATAACATTTGAACCTGGTGAAATTTAATTTAGTATCAGTTGACCTGAAAATGAAAACTTAAAATGTATTGAAATTGTGAACCATTGATTTAAGGAAAATATCACACTCCAAAATTTAGGCTGTTTGATCTATGCAGTTAGTGCCTTCAAATAGATTTATTTTAGCTAATTTCAATCAGTTGAAACAAACGGAGGTTTCAGGATTAAAATTCAGTGAGAACATTATGCTTCTAACAAAGGGCTGCTTTATGTTGCATAGAGGGGCGCGGCTTAAATAAAAAACTTGCACTGAAAAAACACTGAAAGTGCCAAACTCATCCTTCCTCTCGAGAGGCAGGACACTGAAATTTGGGATTGTTTTGGGACATGATCTTGGAAGCAGCAGAAATGCTGGTAGTGCTGGAATACTGTCCAATACAGAGAAGTCTATGGAATGAGACAGACCAAGAGTAAAGCACCTAAACTGAGAGTCAGAAATAAGCATAGTCAGAGAGAACGAGGGCCTGCAGACTGCCGTCTGCACCAGCAAGCATAACCACAAGCAGTCAGACTAATACATCCAGAAGTTGCATGCATACGGTGTGGAAGAGCAAAGGAAATGAACCCGAGTCATGCAGCAGGGCAGCTGAGGTCAACAATGGGGAACGAAAGCAGGCTCCAGACAAAGCAGGGGAAACGCACACAATTGTACTGTACGTAGCACTGAGTAGACCTGTCAGCTGCCTTATTAGCTGTGCACGTTTTGCTGGTGCTGTTGCTAGTTCTTTGTGCCTTAACTTGTGACTTATCTTTCATAGGTGTTGGCCCTGATCCAGGAAAGGGCTTTCATATTTTTACATAAATCTGATTGAGGATTGTAATATGATGAAAGCTCACGCAGTCCTAGGAGAGATGCTTTCCTGAATCAGCAGTGTTGTTGGAGTATGTGATTCTGTGTAGTCCTTTCCAGCTCTGACCCTGTCATCTTTTCTTAAAGTTTTCAGCTTATGCAGTTTTCTCTCAGTTCTGAGCAAATGCTTTTTCGCTCAGGACCTAACCAAAGTAACTTTCTGCCTAACTCCCTATTCTTGTCCAGCTTTGCACTACTTGTCTTTAGTGGCAGTATGTTTCTATCAGTTACACTGCATAGCCCACGGTAGCCTGTGCCCCCAAGCTCCTAGCTGAAACAAATGCCTACTCGAGAAGAACAGCAGGGAAAGCAAATTACTTGGCTGTTGGGAATTATCGTTTGAGTATCTCATAAGAAGGAATACTGAATCACCTTATTTTTTTAAGTTAATGTAGAAATGAGTAACCGCTGTACTAACCTAGGAACACAGCTTGATTCACGACCATCTCGTCACCACCAACACTACCGCATTTTCTTATCTGTGTACCTTTTGGTGTCTCTTGGCAGTGAGAGTGGGACAAAGGGGTTGGTTAGCTATCTCTTTGGGGGATGAGAAATTTCTTAGTTCCAAATCCTTTTTTCAAACCCACTGGTACCTTCAATGAAAAATATAGGCATACTTAAGGGGTTTATTAAGCTTTGTCTGCACTTTGCCTTTCTATGGTGTCCTCTCACCTGTATATAGGCAAGATCATATTTTTTCAGAGCCTGCTCAGACTGTGATTGGGCTTGCAGCCTAGGGAGCTGGTTATCAGACTGAAGCCCAGTTCATATTTGTGTGCATTGAGAAACCAATAAAACCTGACTGAAACTGTGTGTAGTTTCAGAGGCTGCTTCTCAAAACTGGACCTTAAAGCTATTTAAAAAATGTTTAATATGAATACTTTGTTTCAGATACAGCTAAGCTGCACAATATACAGATACAACTTGTTATAATGTATCTTCCATGATTTGAAGGTTCTTATGCCATTTTGATATAGGGATAAAACATTCATATTATATTAATATTTTGCTTAATTCAGAGATCAAATCTATGGCAAAACTATTATAAAGTTGACATAAAGCTTGATCCTGCACTGACTACATTTTTGGATTCTAGCATTATATTACATATATGACTTACCGTGGAAAAATGCATAAATCAGAGCTGAATTTGGTTGAGTTAGTATGAGTACTGTAGCAGGCAAACTGAGTTATGCTAAAGCTGGTACAACAAAAGCGTAGCAGCAATAAATAAAAAATGAGAACTTTGGTTACAGTAAAATGTCCTTTCCTGAGTTCTTGTTAGATGCTGAATTGAAACAGTGAATTTGCTGCATGAAGATCAGAATTTCTGAAATGCATTGCTAAGAAACCCTGTATTCTGACAAATCCAGAGATGCAATGATCCATCTGGGTTTTATTC